TGTTTAATCAAAAGAGGTTTTTTTTGTTGTTGAATTAATAGAGGCTATATTTATGGATTTCTAGTTAATAAAAGTATTATTTCTAAGACATGCAAAAGAAATTTTAAGAAATCAACAGAAATTTCAAATCATGTGGTAAAATGAAATAAAATCATATAAAATTGATTATTAAATGAGTTAAATGAAAAATACATAACAATAAAAAGAGTAATTTAGGAGGCAATGCTCTTCTTAAGTAAGTTCAAGACTTCTTGGTAAGCCAATTTCTTGGCCATCTTCTTATCAGAGGCCTTTGCTGTGTGAGCAAAACTCATTTCCTTAGCTTTCACTTCAACTGTGAAATAAGCTTCACCATTTTCGAAACCTTTAGCTTTACTCAACTCAAACTGCAGTTTCTGACATAATTCTGTCAACTCTCTCACCGGATGCAACTTGACAGTCTCCGGAGTTATCATAACACCCAAGAGCGGTTTTATACTCGCAAACACTGTTTCCTTGTTGTAACCGGAGTCAACAAGTATCGCTCCTGCTAAAGATTCAATCACATCTCCAAGAACCTGATAACGGCAAAACCAGTAAGACATTGAAGGCCTTGTGTGCAACGTAGAGTAGATCGTTAAAAATGTGTTTTACCTTAGGGAAAGATATACTGGATTCCCATCCAAAAGAGGATTGTAAAGACGACCGTTCAAACTCACTGACTGTTCTAGAGATGTGTTTGTGGAGATCATGAGAGGCATGGAGAATGTGTTTGTGCAGGTTTGCTTTCACCGCCACTTGAGCATAACATTCATTGTTCACAGAAGCTGATCGCATGTCGGTTAGTAGTCCAGGAGAAAGACTAGGATTTTCGCCGTAAAGATGCTTGGTTATGAGATAATCCAACACCGAGTCACCAAGGAACTCCAACCGCTGCAGTAGAGTCGATTTAATTCATTAAGCGAAGCACCAACAGAAATAAATAGTAAGATGATCGACTTTTATGGAGAAGGGACAAGAACCTGATAGCATCTTGGAATTTCAGGAATCATGTATGAACCATGAGTCAATGCCTCAACTAGAAGAGACTTGTCCTTAAATGTATAATTCAACAGAGACTCCATATAGTCTACATTCACAAGCTTCTCGGCTTTTATTGGGACCTCTCTTTGAATCCTCAAGGTTGTGATTCTTGTGAAATCAACCTTTATACCAACCCAATTCATAAACATCAACGCTGCTAATTCACCTCCCTCACTGAGATATGCACCAATTAGTGATTCTACAACATCGGCCACACTCTTGCGTTTCAAATTCCTCTTACTGGCAATGTATATGTTTCTAGACTCGGGTAGAGTATCATTAACAAGAGCATATGCTGCAGATGATTGACCAGGAACCATCCAACCTTTAGGTTCAAAGCATTCATTGCGGATAAATCCCTGTAACCAAAGACGATACTTTTACATTTTACTTCTACTCCATGAACCTCAACGAGAAGTTTGGGAGTACTGAAGAATGTTTACCTGAAGTTTCTGCTGACATCCAAATTTGCAGAGCATGACATTTGAAATCATTCCATCTTTCTTCGTGCTAAGAAGACCCTCATGAAGAGTATGAAATTGTTGGAATAGATGCTGACAAACAGCATATTTCAAAAAAGAGTCACCAAGAGTTTCTAGTGATTCCAAGTGGAACTGATCTTGGCACTTCTTCGTCGTGATGGCTTCCAGAACCTGTAGTCACAAATGAATCAAAACATTTTGGTGAAAAAAATCAACATCAGAGTCCCAGGCATGATTTACATCATGCTTGAAAGTCCCAAGTTCTACCTTGATGGTGGGAATATTGACTTTTGGGATGCTCTTCTTCACGTTGTATGCTATAAGCAAAGATTCAATGCGTTGCATAACAGAGGGGATGAATGTATATGAATAGATCATATCAACTGATATTGGGGACAAAATGAGATGACACAGCTCAGGAGGTAGTTCAACAAACTCTCTGTCATGCTCTGCAGC